CACCAGGAATGTTGGATGACCTATTTCTTGAGCCATTATAATCTTGGACAAAACTGTGTGAAGTCAACAAGTCCTGAATAATCTGAACTTTCAGATTTACAAGGATTAGTTAATATAAAAATGGCCAAAGAGGTATTGTCATGTTTTACTTTCTTTCATTTTCAAATTGAATATTTTCTTTGATTAGCTAGTATGAATGAAAAGTTTAAACCATCTAAATTAAGTTTCCCTGTTTGATATTATTAGACTAATTACAAAGTTGTAGCTTCAAGAGAAACCTCTTAATAAAATCTTCAAATAGTTGCTTGTAAATGTTTGTGAAGAAGTACTTTGATTTATTCATTGTTTGTATCGTATGTGTACTTGTAAATGTACAAGTTACACAAAATTGAATGCCAACAATAGTCGGACCGTCCCTTGGATGTAACCTCTACCAAGCACCGCGGATCGCTGGAAAAATAGTAGAAATTGGCCGAAATAAAGGGGTAGTATACCAGAGAAGATCCCGGGCTATAGAAGATCCAATTCGTGAGACACGGACACGAATTGCATTTGGATCAAATCTGGCGTGTTGTGCACGCAGTTTACTGGTCAGAGTTTGAAATACTTTTTTCTCAGGTTGCCTACATAATTAGCTTAGGTTGCTCATCAATATTTCTGGTTGCCGTCAACACTGGCTTTTCATTTTAGAAGGCAAGCCGTATACACTTGGCCACCTGAGAGGTATCACTCACGTAAGGTGGCCGAGGCAGTTTCAGAAGTTGTTACTTTCTCATGGGGGCCACATGCCTTTTTCTATAGAGCATAATCGGCCCTTTTAATTCTACGTAGAGCATAGACGGACCGCTCTAATTCAACGTAGAGCGTAATTGGCACATTTTGCGTTGAGCGTAATTCACCAATTTGATTAAACGTGATACGTTGTAGCTACCCGGAATTTATCGTAGAACGTAATGGGGAGTATTCCTGAATTCAGCATAATACGTAGCCGGCTCTCAAATTTTAGCGTAGAGCATTATCGGGACCCCACCATGCAGGCCCCCTCTCATCAGATCACCCTGTGCCATCTCTACATCTAAGTCTCACAAAGAAACAATGACTTGCGCGAGTGCGAATTTCGATCCCTGTCGATCGTTTCATACAAGCGAAATTAAAAAAAAGCGAAACATGCTCACCATTCCCGGGACCGACTTTTTCTTCGACACAGTTTTCTTTGGCTTATTTCCGTCCACAGCGACTGTCACTTGTTTCTTGGCCGGGTCCATTCCTCCAATGGACGTCTTCTTCCCTATATCGAACGCAGGGACCGACGTTTTCTTTTCCTTCACCGTCGGAGTTGGCGGTGGGTCGCATCCCTCCGCACCTGGCGAGGTATCGCTTTTGGTACTCATGTCCGAACCTTGATTATTACACGCGGCGTTACAACTTTATATGGCTGTAGCTCGCCTGTGATTGGCTGATGTGAAGATGCGGCACGGCCCGTGTTTTATTGCATCAGTCTGTAGTTAGTGAGCCCCCATTCTCACCTCTGGGCCAATCAGGTGGGTTAGAAAGTGTGGACAATATGTTAGGAAAACAATACTGGAACAATGGGGGGCACTTAGCCAAATAACGCGTGGAATGGCTGGAGGGAGGTATAAAAACAAACCGTGGCGCGTGCGTGCGTGTACGGGTGTGTGAGTGAGTTGGTGACGGCGCAGTCCTGGCCGATCCCCCGCTCTAAAAACGCCACGGCTCGGGTAGATTTAATTAGTCAGGAGTTTACGCGATGGATGAATTCTGGGGGGCGAAGATATCCTCTTGCCGAGCTGAGAGAGAGAAAGAACAGGAAGTGTTCACGGTTCTGGAAGCATCTGCCTCGGCACTTCGCACCACCTGAGGAATGCTGCCAGGCGAGCAACCTGTGGGAAGATGGCAGCGGTGGTAGGAAAAAAAACCCGGACGAAAAACGGAACGAGGTGTGCTCGCGCCGTGTTGATGAAATCAACAGTGAAATAGACAGATCATGACGGCCTGGTACAGACGTGGGGGCTTCCCTCGCACAAAACGAGCTCGCTCTCCACCGTGCAAGGCCGCAGACGGGCTCAACTTGATGCAACGTAAGCAGGAACTGTCCTTGAGTCGTCCCCGCTTCTTGAAGATGTCGTCCAAGGCCGAAGGGAGGAGGAATCACCGTCTTTAAGGAATGTACACAGCTGTGCAGGGGAAGGCGACCTCCCAAACCTGCGCAGAAGATGATGCGCATTAGAAAACA